GCGTGGGGATGCAAGGCTTGTTCTCCTTGAGGGGGGGGGGCGTGAGTCTTGCGACCGGCTGCACAAGCAAGGAGTGACTTTGCTGTAAAGAACAGCGAGCACAGCGCGGCCTCAACGAATACCCTCAAATGGGGGGGGTGGCGCGAACCAGCCGGGAAACGCAACATTTGGCGCCCCAGCCAGCAAATCCGACATTCCCCCCATGAAAACAACATCCCCCACCTTTGGGGGCAGGAGCTCCATTGACAGGAACCAGGCGAGGTCGTTCTCGACGCAGCTGAGCCCAAACAGCGCCACCAGCGGCGCTAGCAGCTCCGCGACGGCGGGCTGGGCCGCGGCGCCGCCGGCGCCGGCGCCGGCGCCGTCGAGGGCGCGCAGGCAAGCGTCGAAGACCTCGCGCTCTTGGGGGCCATTTGTGTGTGTGTGGGGGGGGGGAGGTGTGTTGGTGAGGGTGACAACAAGGATGTGTTTTGAGGTAACCACGGGTGGAATCATCGCGATTGGTGGGAAATCCTAATCGGGGTTGAGGATTAAGATCCGGCAGGCTCAGCTTGGGGGAACTCGAGGGGGGGCGGTGCGTGGATATCGCAGGGGGCCGGCAGCCCCCGTGCCGCCACTGCAATTTACACGCAGCTGCGACCGCACGGCAAAGCGGATGGGCCTGGGGGACGCGTCGCGCCCAACGCCGCCGCCGCGTAGCTGCCGCGCACCTGCGTAGGCCTTGGCGGCGCCCTGCACCTGGTCGCTCTGCGCCTTCATCCACTCGTCAAACGAGCCGCCCGGCGGCGCGGCGCGCATCGCCAGCGCGAGCGCCCTCAGCAGCCGCGCCTCGCGGACCTGTGGGGGAGGGGCAGGGTGGGCGGTGGGCGGCGATGAGGTTGCGGCGCGAAGGGGTGAAGGGGATGAGGAGGGATGGGGGCTCAGGATGTGGTTTGGGGAGGGGGGGCTGGGGCCCAGGGGGCGGCGGGTTCCTGCTGCCCACGCAGTATAAGTTAGGGACATTTTGGTTGCCGTGCCTTCCGCCACTCCATTTGCGATTGTCCAAAGCAATCTGACAAAGGCCTCTTCTGAAAAAGGTCTCGGAAAGGTCTGGGCCGCCTCGAGTCCCCCGCCAGCCCCGCGCAGCTTCCCTGCTCACCAGCAGCAGCTTCCTCACGGCGTCCATGCACAGCGGCTCCCCGAGCCCTGCAGCCCCCAGCGCCACCGCCGCCGCGGCCGCCCCGCCGGCGCCCCCGCCGCCCGCGGCCTGGGTGCCGCCGGCGCCCGCGGCCGCGCCGGGAAGGGGGGCGCCGGAGGCGGCGGCGAAGCGGGCGGCGAGCTGGGAGGCGGCGGTCTCGGCGGAAGCTAGGCGGGCGGCCACCGACGGGACCTGGAAGTGCGAGAAGCAGGGTTTCAATAATCTCATCGATCAAGGCTGCGGTTGCATGTCGGGTTCTGATGCATGCGTGGGGGGATGTGGGGAGTCGAAGGGCAGCTTGGGAAGGGGTCGTGAGCCGCCTGCTGATGTCATGCGGACGTCACATGCTGATTTGCGCAAGTGTCATGCGGCGTTCCGAACGCCGCATGACATGGAGTCCATGCTGATGTCATGCTGATGTCATGCTGATGTCATGCTGACAGTGGTCACCCTCCCCTGCCGCCCCACCTGCATCATGGAGAGCAGCTCCTTGGAGACCTTCTGCATCAGCACCCTGAGGGAGTCGGTGTGCGCGTGCGCGCGTGTGTGTGTGTGTGCGCGCGCGTGTGTGCGCGCGTGTGTGTCGAGTTCGTGAGTGCGTGCGTGTGTGTATGTGTGTGAGAGAGAAAGAGAGAGTCGGTGTGCGTGCGTGCATGCGCGTGCGTGTTGTGCGTGTGTCTGTAAATGCCTCTCTCTCTGTGTATGTGTGTATGTGTGTTTGTGTGTTTGTGTGTGTATGTGTGCGCTCGCGCGCGCACGTGTATGTGTCTCGCATTCCGTAACCATAAACCCCGGACTCCCAGCCTCCCTGCCCGCCCTGCACCCTCCCCCCCCACCTGTTGTCGCCCTCGGCGGTCATGCCCGCGTGGGCAAAGCCGAGCAGGGAGCCGAAGCGGTTGACACTGAGGTAGCCCTGGGGCCAGCGCGGAGGGCAACAGGATTGAGAAACCTAGATACTTGGCAAAATATCTGATTGGTACCAAAAGAGCACACACACACACACACACACACACACAACGAGAACACACACAGAGAGGGTGTGTTCCGCGGGCCAGCAGGACAGGTGGGGATGTGCTGCGTGGTGGGCCAGGCGGGCGGCGGTTGCTGAGGGTAAAGGCTTGGTGGGACAGGGTTAGCGACCACGGCGGGCGCCGCGCGGTGGTGTGAGTGTGTCGCAGGAGGGGTGCCGACCGCACCCCTCAGCGCCAAGGCAGAGGCAAGGATGCGCCCGCGCCCCCCTCGCGACGCCGGCAGCGGCGCCCCCAAACAGCCCTAAAATCCGCCCCTCTCGAGCCCCGCAAGCCTCGCCCCGGCCTGCCCCTTCGGGCGCCCCCCCTCCTCGCCCAGGCGCGCGGAGGGGCCGCGGTCCGGCGCTCGCCTGGCCGCCGCAGCGCTCGCGCGAGGTGGTGACACAGGTCTCCGCGTTCCAGGCGCAGAGCGGCTTGATGGCGCAGCAGAGTACGACGATCTGGGGGATGGGGTTGGGGGTGGGATTGGGGG